AGTTGGGTGTCAGACCAATCGTCAGCTTTTACCAGTCTCTTTACCATTGGACCTAAAGCTCTAGCCTCGTGACCAGGGTGTACAGCCAAGGTGATGTGTGGGACAGCAGAGGAAGACATGTAATACCACTCACACTGTTCAGGAAGCAGCCGTGTATGGGCCGCCACACCCTCAGGCCCAATATAAATGTAATCTGATTCTAATGTCCACCTATCACTTTCAATTTGTTTGAATTGTTCTCTGTACATTAAGTCTTGGTCTCTGTCATAGAATAATGTCAAGTGGGCAGGGTCCAGTGGGAGGTGGTAGGAGGCCAAAGAATTTATCCAGGGTTTCCACTTGAAGAAGACGGAATGCACACCATTATTGTCCGTGGACTTGTTTTCTGGGTCCAGTCTCACCCAGTATATGTCTGCATACTGGTCTGGCATCTCTTCTCTCAGAAGCCAGCAGGAGTCCATCGATACACCGGTCACACATCTGTAAATTTGCCCCCCTGGAAAAGTCACTTGTAGACCATCCGGTCCACATAGAATTGACGCATTGGTTTTAGTCAATAAGTCTCTTCCCAGCAGGTTGACAGGTGTTTTAGGAGCATTTACAAAAGAATGCCACAGTGTCTGTGTTCCAATCTGTGTCTTTAAACGTTTAGTGAGTGGCAGTACCTCAGGTGTCCCAGAAAATCCAACCAGGGTGATGTGCTCCTCAGAGAGCAGGACAGGGCGTATCTTTGTATTGATGGTAGAGTAGGTGGCGCCAGTGTCCACCAGGGCCATCAGGTTGTCGTCCTCCACCCTTATGGGGAGCATAGGCTCTGCTGGTACCTTGTCCCCTGGATTTCCTAGGCAGCCCTAGTAAGATTGTTCATGTTCATACTCGCCCCAGTAGTTCCCATGCTGGAAATATTGTCCATCTCTCGGGGCCAGGTTGTCATTCGGAGCCGTCCATGGGGAGGGAGGGCCTGCGCGCTCTGGTCTGGGTCCCATGCCTCTCTGGGGGCCCCTCCCACGCACCATCTCAGGCGCTCCATGGTAGTAGGAGGCCTCTCCTTCAAAGGGGCAGTCCCTCGCCCAGTGACCGTGCCTGTAACAGAGGTGACACACATCCCTGCCCCCTTTCCAGCTTCCACCCCTTCTTCCTCCCCGGCCCCCACGCCCACCACCTCTGGCCCCTCCCCTTGTCCAGTCCTGTCGTGGTGGAGTGGGAAGTCCAGCAGGCATATTAGTCATCTGATTACTGGTTCCTTTTTTATTTTGTGTGGCTTTATTTCTCGCTTCACTAAGCTGTAACTTCAAAAGTTGACAAGTCATATCTTCAACACTCTTTCTTTCTTTAGTTTTATTTTCAACATATCGCTTAATGTGAAAGATTAAATTTGTTTTCCACTGTGCTGAATCCGGGTTAATATTATCTGGGTTGTCCTTCAATCTTTGAGCGTATTGTTTCTGGTAAACCATTCAAAATAGCTGCTCTAAAAGGCATGACTTCACTGACCTTGTGAGGGTGTCTTCCTACTGTGTCCATCCACTTGGTCACACTCCTGTCATAAAATACAATTGGGTCCTCAGACTCCAGCCAAGTTAACTCACGAGGGGCAGAAGACAGCGGAGTTGGAAAGTTTTCCCTCAGTGCTTCATACCAGGCATTTGCATACTGGCCAAATCTGGAAGAATCACAAACATCATCAGTACCAGCTTGTCTTTCAATAGCATCTCTCTCCCATGGTTTACTGCATGCTGCCATCACTGCCCGGACGTCACCCATCGCGACATCATGACCTGTAAACCATGTGTTCAGACTGGAAATCCAGTTTCCAGCTCCCTGACACAATGGAGGCATTTTGTCTTTTATAGTCTGCATGTCACTTACAGAAAAAGGATGGTACTCCCCAGCTGCGCCTCGTCCTGGTCTCAGAGGGAACATGGATTTTGTCTGAGACCTGGTTCTGCTTGCCACCGGTCTAGTTTCTCCAGGCTCCTGGTCTCCGTCATCACTACTGTCAGAAGAGAATTTAGCTCCTTTTTTAGCCTGTTTAGCTTTAAGTATTGGCTGGGCCATGGCACCGTCTCCCTTTTCATTTTCACTGTCCGTCCTAGTCATGGCTCTGCGTGCGGCTTTATTAATTAATTTTGCATTCTCCTGTCTAGCGGTCTCGTAATCATGGGTCCTACTTGGGGTTTCTTCTCTCTCAACTCTGTCTGTGGTGCATTCAGAGGTCGGTTTCCTAGCTCTAATATTTCTGAGAGAGTGCAGGAGCTCCTCTTGAATAGATGGGGGTTGGTGAGGGGTGTGTGGGAGCTGTGGCGGGAGGCTGACAGCTGGATTTTGACTCGGATCTCTATTGTCCCCCACAGACTCCTCTTCTGTCCCTTCGTCAAATTCACTGTCTACAAAGTCATTGTCCCCTCTCTTTCTTACCGCCACTTCTCCTGAAAATGTATATTGTGGCAATATTAGATTTGGCTTACCTGGTTCTAAACCCAGAGAATATTTTGGTGGAGCCGTGGGTAGGGATGGGTATATATTACTCACCGGCATTGCTCCGTTTTCTGTTTCCTTGTCTTTACTTACCATCGGTAATTTTGCCAACGCCGTGGCAGCCAAAGCAAAATTATGTACCTTGGTCCTCAGTTTCTCAGCCTTTTTTAGTTCCTTCTTAATTTTTCTACGCTCATTCCAACTCTCTCCCTGCTTTCCCTCAAGCTCAAGTTTATGCTGTTTTAAATTATTTTCCTCTTCCCGCAATATCTTAGCCAATGCGGACGCTGTCATATACTCAGGTATGACCCTTTTGTTCTGTATTTTTTCCCATGCTTTCACAGCCTTTCGTTTTGCCTTGTTCCTATATTTTTTATCCAGACCACTCAGAATCTGAGCCTCTATCTCTTTATAGAGCTGCTCGATTTGAATGCCTGTCTCCATTTTTCGGGGGGGCCCAAAATTCCCCCAGGCTCCAATGGGTTAAACCTAACTTGTGTGTTGACGCGTCCGTCAACCACGCTAGTCACAGCGGGCTTTTCTGTTTCTGGCAAGGCTTCTCAAAAAATCTTTACTTTTAATATATTCTCGCAGGGTTCTAGCTACTTAGAGTCCTATTTTATTTAATTTTAACGTATTTTCGCAAGGCTCTCACTACTTTTTAGGCTTTTACTATTTTTACTTTTTGAATTAGCTCCTCCGTGGACAAAACTTCTCTCCCCTTAATTTGTGTAGTCCAATATGCAGATTTTTAATTAGTCAAAAGGTATCTGCTTACCTTCAAATCAGCGGCCGCTTTGAGGAGAGATGCAGAGTCCAAGGGAGAGGTTGAAAGTCATCAAAGGGATCACGTCGGGGTCACCAATTATTATATTAAAAAATGACGTGTTCAAAATCCCTTATAAAGATGACCATGATTCAGAAAGTTAAATTCAAAAAGGTTTATTTCCCTAATACAAAAAGAATCTAAAACAGCTGTCCGGACCAAAAAGTATCTAATCCCTATCCTCTATATAAGGTGTAACATTGGTTGGGCGCTCCACCAAGTCACACAGCTAAACCCTGATCCGGACTGAAAAAACTAACACACACATTCAAGCTATTCATTAAGTAAATGTGCAAGGGGAAGAAGGGGCGTGTCGTATCAGTCAGCTCTTGGTCCAGGGTCCGGCCTCCATCAGGTCTTCTCCGTCTCGCCAGACCTAAACAGAAATCATTCACGCACTACCCCTCCCTAATTCTATAGATTTATTAGTTCCTTTGAGATAAGGCAGAGGGATCTCAAGGCTTCTCCTCCAGATTCTGGACTCCATCTCCTTCTTTCACAACTTGAAAGGATTAGCAGAATCCCCCCAGATTAACTATCATTAACTCACCCATGCACTTTGGACAAAATGGGACAAGGGGAGTAGGGCAATACAAGGTCTTTCTTTTTGCTTGGAGACAGACAGAGTTCAATTTCAGGTCAATCTAATTCACATCGCCTTTTAGCCTATATTTAATACAACAACAGTGATAGAAAGCGTTACTTTGGTAAATTGCAATTAGAGGTTAATTTATAGAAAATGTGAATGTGTTTTAGCTACAAGGATTAGATTTAGTCCTGTGTGTGTGTGTGTGTGTGTGTGTATGTGTGTGTGTGAGGGTGTGTGTGTGTGTGTGTGTGTGTGTGTGTGTGTGTATGTGTGTGTGTGAGGGTGTGTGTCTGTGTGTGTGTGTGTGTGTGTGTATGTGTATGTGTGTGTGTGTGTGTGTGTGTGTGTGTGTGTGAGTGTGTGTGTGTATGTGTGTGTGTGAAGGTGTGTGTCTGTGTGTGTGTGTGCGTGTGTGTGTGTGTATGTGAGTGTGTCTGTGTGTGTGTGTGTGTATGTGAGTGTGTGTGTGTGTGTGTGAAGGTGTGTGTCTATGTGTGTGTGTGTGCGTGTGTGTGTGTGTATGTGAGTGTGTGTGTGTGTGTGTGTGTGTCTGTGTGTGTGTGTGTGTATGTGAGTGTGAGTGTGTGTGTGTGTGTGTGTGTGTGTGTGTGTGTGTGTGTGTGTGTGTATGTGTGTGTGTGAAGGTGTGTGTCTGTGTGTGTGTGTGCGTGTGTGTGTGTGTATGTGAGTGTGTGTGTGTGTGTGTGTGTCTGTGTGTGTGTGGGGGGAACTACAGCTGCAGGGTTGCCACAATATACTGATGTTCAAACCATTTTAGACGAGAAAAAAGGAGGAGAGAGGGACCAGTAGAAAGAGGAGAAAGGAGGGACCAGGAGGAGAGGGGAAGCAAGAGAGGAGGCAGGAGGAGGAGAGAGGAGGCAGGAGAGACCAGCAGGAGAGACCGGACTCTGATTCTGGAGAAACCTTTTGCCGTTTTCTCTTTTGTGCTGCTCTGACTTGAAACCATTTTACATCATTCAAAGTCTGGCTGTAATTAACATGTTTTTAAATAATGGATTTCAATCTTTCAATCAATCACGGAGCGAGAAGGAGCGAGAAGGAACGAGAAGGAGCGAGAAGGAACGAGAAGGAGAACGGTCAGAGAACATGGGTTTGTTTTCTGCAGAGATGGCTCCAGTTTCACACAGAGAAAAGCATTTGATTCTTCATCATCGCAGCATTATCTGAATCCCAAAGCTCCTCCTCAGCTCCTTTGAGTCTATAATCTCACAAATGCAGCTGAAGCGGAGGTTCAGGATGGTAGACTACCTACGTTATCACACCAGGCTTGACCACGCCTTACTCAGCCTGTCTTAATCAACTCCCCGCAGCCGTGTCAATCAAGCCAGCGTTTAAGAGAACAGCAGAGCACAGCTCACCAAACGGACTTCAAGCTGCAACCACCTCCTCCTCACCTCCTCCCCACCTCCGCCTCAGGAATTCTTCACTCTCACATTCACCTTGCCTTGTTGCCACCACCAGTGTCTAGGCCCCGGGGGATCATGATCTGCCCCAGGCGCAGATCTCTCCAGAGCACGGCCACAGCCGGGGCCTAAGCTCCAAACCAATAAACAAACTCAATCCATAAAATAAACAACTCTTAAACGCATCTCGTCTCTTGTAGTCTCTCCAGGTTGAAATACGACTAAGCTATGACTAAATGAGCAAACGGCAGGAGCTCTGGTGTGTACTGTCAGGTGCACACTGGGGTCTTGTACAGTTTTTCCAATGGAGTTTTACTGCAAATGGCAAATGTATTCTTGAATCTTCTTGAAGCTTGAATTCTGCTCTCCTCTCTGTCTCTGTCTTATTGTGTCTCTGTCTCTGTCTTATAGTGTCTCTGTCTCTGTTTTATTGAATCGCCCTAAATCTCTAGTATCTAGTAATCTAGTAGTTTTCTCTGAGGACTTTGCAAAGTTGTCGATTCACCAACAACAGATCAGAAAATCAAACAATTCAAACACAAGAAATGCAGTGATAGAGAAAACCACAGAGAGACATTGGTCCATACGAAGCCCAAGGACACAACTACAGCAGACATCAGTGTAAGTCATGAAGCAGGTCATTCAGTGGACTCAAACCCACGACCTTCAGGCCCAAACGCCAAAGCTCTACCAACTGAAATACCAGGGATCAAAACAGAATTGTCCAAACTGGGACTAAACTCGGCTACACTGAAAAAATAATAAATATGAGGTTAAAATTGATTAAATCTAACACATGTGACTGTGTTAAAACTAGATTCTCCAAAGGCACAAAGACATTCAGAGAAACAAACTCATTCAGAAACACAGAGAACAGAATAAATCACATTCAGGACGTCACCTCCTCCTCCTGTAGCTGTTCTCATAACTGCAGGTCAACCATAAAGTACTGCAGGTCCATATGGTGCGCCTTGGCAGGTCTGGGCCGGCTCACAGTCGGTCTGGCCCGGCTCACTCTCGGTTTGGACCGGCTCACACTTATTCTGGGCCGGCTCACAGTCGGTCTGGCCCGGCTCACTCTCGGTTTGGGCCGGCTCACACTTATTCTGGGCCGGCTCACACTCGGTCTGGGCCGGCTCACACTTGGTCTAGGCCAGCTCACTCTCGGTTTGGGCCTTCTCACACTTATTCTAGACCGGCTCACTCTCGGTTTGGGCCAACTCACACTTATTCTGGACCGGCTCACTCTCGGTCTGGGCCAACTCACACTTATTCTGGGCCGGCTCACACTCGGTCTGGGCCGGCTCACACTTGGTCTGGACCGGCTCACACTCGGTCTGGGCCAACTCACACTTATTCTGGACCGGCTCACACTCGGTTTGGGCCTTCTCACACTTATTCTGGACCGGCTCACACTCGGTTTGGGCCTTCTCACACTTATTCTGGACCGGCTCACTCCTGGTTTGGGCCAACTCACACTCGGTCTGGGCTCACTCTTGGACAAATGCGATTGTCGGCTCAGCACTGAACCTGACACTAATTTTAAAGCGCTACATGCAAAGCCCCCGCAGCAGCCGCAGCAGCCGCAGCAGCCGCAGCAGCCGCAGCTCATCTACAGTTCGGTGTTCGCTGTCAGAAAAGCCTCAAAAGTCCGACTCCCGTGACCTTTATTCTGCAAACGTAGTTGTTTTCTCTGCTTTGTGACTGATGGATCTTATTATATGAACAGAAGAGCGTAGAACCAACACCCCACGGCCATAGCAACGCTAAAGCTAATGAAATCTGGAGCCAGAGCAGACTTTGGGGACTTAAGCAGAGCGCTGGCATTTACATCTGTGTGAGAGAAAGTACAGGCGCCCTCAGCACCTGTGGTGTAAACATGGGCCACAGCTGCGTTTCTGCTCGTTCTAGTCTGAGTCATTTACAGAGAGTCGCATCTGTGGTTTGGATTCAGCATCAGGTACGGTCGCTACAGCTGCATCTGGTTATACAGCTGGCCCCTGGACCAGAGCGAGACCAGAGCGAGACCAGAGCGAGACCAGAGAGAGAACAGAGTGAGAGACCAGAGAGAGACCAGAGAGAGAGACCAGAGAGAGACCAGAGAGAGAGACCAGAGAGAGACCAGAGAGAGACCAGAGAGAGAACAGAGTGAGAGAGACCAGAGAGAGAGAGACCAGAGAGAGACCAGAGAGAGACCAGAGAGAGACCAGAGAGAGACCAGAGAGAGACCAGAGAGAGACCAGAGTGAGACCAGAGAGAGACCAGAGAGAGAGACCAGAGAGAGAGACCAGAGAGAGACCAGAGAGAGACCAGAGAGAGAGACCAGAGAGAGAACAGAGTGAGAGAGACCAGAGAGAGAGAGACCAGAGAGAGAGAGACCAGAGAGAGACCAGAGAGAGACCAGAGTGAGACCAGAGAGAGACCAGAGAGAGAGACCAGAGAGAGAGACCAGAGAGAGACCAGAGAGAGACCAGAGAGAGACCAGAGAGAGAGACCAGAGAGAGACCAGAGAGAGACCAGAGAGAGGGACCAGAGAGAGAGACCAGAGAGAGGGACCAGAGAGAGAGACCAGAGAGAGGGACCAGAGAGAGACCAGAGAGAGACCAGAGAGAGAGACCAGAGAGAGACCAGAGAGAGAGACCAGAGAGAGACCAGAGAGAGAGACCAGAGAGATACACCAGAGAGATACACCAGAGATAGACCAGAGAGAGAGACCAGAGAGAGAGACCAGAGAGAGACCAGAGAGAGAGACCAGAGAGAGACCAGAGAGAGAGACCAGAGAGATACACCAGAGAGATACACCAGAGAGAGACCAGAGAGAGACACCAGAGAGATACACCAGAGAGAGACTTTTGCTGCATTCTTCTTTTACATAATTTCAAAACCAAAACGATGGCATCAGTTTAGTATCATTCTCTTTAAACACGATCGTTGATGGTTTGGTTTCACAGGACCATGAAACATTAAAGTGGTCATCATTATGCTAAATGCAAACCACTCCAATAGTGACCCCTTATTTTTATTCAAATGAAGCCTGAGCTTATTAAACCCGGGACGAGAGAGAGCAGAGAGAGGGAGAGAAGGGGGAGAGAGAGAGAGAGCGGTGGCCATAGCTACAGCTCATTAGCATCCGCTCTTCAAATGGTTATTGGTGTCATGGAAAGGCAACTAAGGTGCGAGGAGAGAGAGATTAGAGAGACAGATTAGAGAGAGAGACCAGAGAGAGAGACCAGAGAGAGATTAGAGAGAGAGACCAGAGAGAGATTAGAGAGAGAGACCAGAGAGAGACCAGAGAGAGATTAGAGAGAGAGATTAGAGAGAGAGACCAGAGAGAGAGACCAGAGAGAGACCAGAGAGTGGGACCAGAGAGAGAGACCAGAGAGAGGGACCAGAGAGAGATTAGAGAGAGAGACCAGAGAGAGACCAGAGAGAGACCAAAGAGAGACCAGAGAGAGACCAGAGAGAGAGACCAGAGAGAGAGACCAGAGAGAGAGACCAGAGAGCGGGACCAGAGAAAGATTAGAGAGAGAGACCAGAGAGAGACCAAAGAGAGACCAGAGAGAGACCAGAGAGAGAGCAGACCAGAGAGAGATTAGAGAGAGATTAGAGAGAGATTAGAGAGAGAGACCAGAGAGAGAGACCAGAGAGAGAGCAGAGAGAGACACCAGAGAGAGATTAGAGAGAGAGACCAAAGAGAGAGCGACGAGAGAGGGACCAGAGAGAGATTAGAGAGAGAGAGACCAGAGAGAGAGAGACCAGAGAGAGAGACCAGAGAGAGAGACCAGAGAGAGAGAGACCAGAGAGAGAGACCAGAGAGAGAGACCAGAGAGAGAGACCAGAGAGAAACTACTTTGAAATCTTTTCAGTTTTGCTTCAGTCATTTTCAGCCTCTCACTCCTCCAGTGTTTACTTCCATTTCACACAAACACATTCGTTCTTCCGAGTCTTCCTCTCGTAGCTGCTGTTTAGTAAAGCGTCCTCTGTCAGGTCCTCGCCGCCGCCGCCTGGCAGTGGTCCAGGTCTCTTTGATGGATCTTCTGCGGCGCCGTTTGAGTCCGATACAGAAGCCACAGAAGCTTATTCAGCAGCGTGTTCCTCTGTGATCAATGCACCTCCGTCACCGCGGCCCCGCACCACAGATTGAGACGCATCTGGGATCTGCCTCTTGAAGAACTGCCCACTCAACACGCCGCTCATGAATAAAACATGAGCTGTGAATGTGCCATCACCGCATTAGCATTAGCTTTAGCAGTAGCATTAGCATTAGCATCCTGGACCCGCGGACAAAGCCGGAGGTCAAGGCGCACTCCTGCAAATAATGGATGAGATTTGTCGTGTTTTTGGCTCAGGAGCTGAATGACAAATTCTGCTTCCTCAAAGAGAGAGAGACAAGAGAGAGACTAGAGAGAGAGAGACCAGAGAGCGAGACCAGAGAGGGAGACCAGAGAGAGAGACCAGAGAGAGAGACCAGAGAGGGAGACCAGAGAAGGAGACCAGAGAGAGAGACCAGAGAGAGAGACCAGAGAGGGAGACCAGAGAGAGAGACCAGAGAGAGAGACCAGAGAGGGAGACCAGAGAGAGAGACCAGAGAGAGAGACCAGAGAGGGAGACCAGAGAGGGAGACCAGAGAAGGAGACCAGAGAGAGAGACCAGAGAGAGAGACCAGAGAGGGAGACCAGAGAGAGAGACCAGAGAGGGAGACCAGAAGAGAGAGAGACCAGAGAGAGAGACCAGAGAGAGAGACCAGAGAGAGAGACCAGAGAGAGAGACCAGAGAGGGAGACCAGAGAGAGAGACCAGAGAGAGAGACCAGAGAGGGAGACCAGAGAGGGAGACCAGAGAAGGAGACCAGAGAGAGAGACCAGAGAGAGAGACCAGAGAGGGAGACCAGAGAAGGAGACCAGAGAGAGAGACCAGAGAGGGAGACCGAGAGGGAGACCAGAGAGAGAGACCAGAGAGAGATACCAGAGAGAGAGACCAAAGAGGGAGACCAGAGAGGGAGACCAGAGAGAGAGACCAGAGAGAGACCAGAGAGAGAGACCAGAGAGAGAGACCAGAGAGAGAGACCAGAGAGAGACCAAGGCCCACTCCTGCAGCACACGGGAAATGATAATGGATGAGATTTGTCGTGTTTTTGGCTCAGGAGCTGGATGACAAACACTGTTTCCTCAAAGAGCTTTTCACCACATGCTGGAAACTTCTGTTGTTTGATCCACAACAAGGGTTTTATCTCTGCTGTAGACCCAGGACTGAGGCTGTAGATCCAGGACTGAGGCTGTAGATCCAGGACTGAGGCTGTAGACCCAGGACTGAGGCTGTAGACCCAGGACTGAGGCTGTAGATCCAGGACTGAGGCTGTAGACCCAGGACTGAGGCTGTAGACCCAGGACTGAGGCTGTAGACCCAGGACTGAGGCTGTAGATCCAGGACTGAGGCTGTAGACCCAGGACTGAGGCTGTAGACCCAGGACTGAGGCTGTAGACCCAGGACTGAGGCTGTAGACCCAGGACTGAGGCTGTAGATCCAGGACCGAGGCTGTAGACCCAGGACTGAGGCTGTAGACCCAGGACTGAGGCTGTAGACCCAGGACTGAGGCTGTAGACCCAGGACTGAGGCTGTAGACCCTGGGTTGAGGCTGTAGACCCAGGACTGAGGCTGTAGACCCAGGACTGAGGCTGTAGATCCAGGACCGAGGCTGTAGACCCAGGACTGAGGCTGTAGACCCAGGACTGAGACTGTAGACCCAGGACTGAGGCTTTAGACCCAGGACTGAGGCTGTAGACCCAGGACTGAGGCTGTAGACCCAGGACTGAGGCTTTAGACCCAGGACTGAGGCTGTAGACCCAGGACCGAGGCTGTGAAATTATTAGTATTAATCCACGTTAGCGCTTCCAAATTCAAACAAATCTGTATTAACTTGTGCCTCTCCAACTCAAGAGCTAGCATAGCCACAGATACATTATTTAAGATTATTAACCATAATCCAAAAAGCCGTTTAAGCTCCTCAGTCCTGCTAAAAGCCGTTTACTTGTGTCTCCTTTTAGATCCCTGCGTTATTTCATTTCCTCTTGACCTTTTGGAGTCAAACTAAAAAATTACGAACCCATGAAATGTTGGGATCTAAAAATATGCGGTAAAACTCAGGTTGGCTCCGTCCCTGGATTTGCATTTAAGATAGATGTATGCCCAATTCTTTCCACTCTGACCCTTAAACTGTCCTTGAATCCACTCCAGCGAAAAACACCTACTTAGTCTGAATGCATTAGCTCAGAAAAGTGGGGATTTGTTCAGAATTGGTAATGAATGTGAGTCTTTGGACAGTCACAAAGAGAGACGCAGAGGAGCAGGAGGTGTCGCTTCTTCACAGCTGTGTTTTTACGTCTCCTTATTCAGTGTAGCGGCTAATGGGCTCACGTAGCATAGCATACATCAAAGGGTTAGCTTTAGCATCTGTAGCATGAAAGAGACAGCCTCAGTCCTGGGTCTACAGCCTTAGTCCTGGGTCTACAGCCTCAGTCCTGGGTCTACAGCCTCAGTCCTGGGTCTACAGCCTCAGTCCTGGGTCTACAGCCTCATGGTTCATTGTAGAAACTGCTGTTGTGATTTAGGGCTGTACACAAACAAACGTAATGGAATAGACTTAAAAAAGACTTAGTTCTCGACTT